TCTCTTTCTCTGTTGGGGGGCATTGTGAGGCGTGCCAGCATGGTTTCCCCCTGCACGCAGCTCACCAGTGCTCACTTCAGATGACTATCCCATCAGCAGTAACGTCCAATGAACCACACACACTGACAGCAGACTCATTATCACTTGTCATGTCAGGTTTTCGTGTATCCATACACTGTCATAAGTTTCGACGCTGATCCTTCAGAATTCACACCGTCACTCTGTATAAGATCATCACTCTGGTTGTGGTATTGTTCACTCTGCAGTGCAGTCAGAGCACTAGGTAAACCCGCCGTCACCCCTTCAACATCCGGAACACACGGAGGTTCAGTCACTGTGTCTCCGATTCCTTCCAGTCCTGTCCAGTTTGCAGATGCTCTTGACGGTAATGACGCTTGTTGCGCCTCCCTAAGCTCCGTCATCACCTCATCTCGCTCTTTAACTCGTTGCGCAGTATCGTCCGCGCCTTCCTCGAGGTCTCTGGTTGCTTCGAGCGTGACCTCGCACATCGTCGGAGCAGCGTTCGAGCTACAGACTTCACTCAGATCCATAGTGGATTCGAGCGTTGAGTTTTCAGTACTCGACTCCATGTTACTGCACTTTGTAAAGTGCAACGACTCCAAGTCGTCGTCCTCCAAATCTGCTCTATGACGATCTCGGTACATCACATCTTCACTAATGTGAAGATCGGATACGAATTTAGCTGTACGATCATCAGGAAAGTAGACTTTACAACCCACGGTATCTTCGGTATAACCGAGCACAAAACCCAGTCGCGCGTTATCATGGTGCTTCTTCCGACCTGGTGTCACTGGTACATGCACATAAGCAAGTTAACCAAACTTGCGGATGTGATGGAGGTCGGGTTTGATCCCAAACATCATCTCATAGAGAATGCTCTGAGTTCCCTTAATGTAGGTTCTGCTCTTGATGTACACTGCGTTACGCAGCGCTTCAGGCCACAGACTAACAGGAAATCCAGCATCATGCATCATCGACTTCGTCATCTCCACGAGAGATTGATGCGTCCGCTCGCAAAGGTTCAGCTGTGAACGCTTTGGACCCACCTTCACATGCTCGATGCCGTGCACTCCGTACCAGTTATCCATTACTGTGTTAACGAAGTCACCGCCTTTGTCTGTCAAGACTTGGTGTACTCTGTACTTCACTCGAATAGGGCCATCCTGCTGACGACCAGCTTGGCTTTCAGCCCAGAGCACATATTCTTTCATGTGCTGGTTCACTACCTCGCTTGACGTGCTAGTCAACATGTGAACTTTCACAAAGCGAGTGTACCCATCCATGAGCACAAGAACAGCCTCGAATCTAGTACCATTAGCTTTACTAGGGATCAGTAAGTCAGCGTATACCATTTGGTTCGGAGCGTTTGTGTTGCGATCCAACTTCTTCCAGTGTCTTCGCTGCTTCTGCTTGCCAATATGACAGGCGTCACACGCTCCTAGCTCTCTCTGCCTTAGCATCATGCCACGAACGAGGTTCTTGTCGACCATCGTCTTCAAGTATTGTGGACACACATGCCCCAATCTCTCATGCCAAAGTTTCAAAGAAGCCACTCCTTCCGCAACTGCGAAATTGCACAACGGCCGATCCTATGGACTAATAAATCCATTTCTGGATGGATGGCTCACTTGAAATCCCCAAGTTCCATCCTCCGGTGTTGCAACAATTACAGTATCGTCGTGTACATCTTGCACGCGAAAGCACCTCAATTGTCCATGGTAATCAAAGTCAATACCTTGTTCCGTTGCTAATCCGACTGACAATAGGCCATGTGTAGCACCAGGAATGTAGAAGACGTCACTTAGATACACTGCCTTTCGCTCGCCTTCAACTTCAGTTATTAGCTGCACAGTTCCTACTCCAGCCACTCGAGATTCCAGCGCAGGCGTAACCCCAAGTACATGCTAAAATTGATTTAGATCCGGTGTAAACGCCACGTAATACCACGGGTTTCCCGTCACGTGCACGTTAGCAGCCGTATCGAAGTACCACCACCCACTACTTGTGTCTACTTCATGTTCATCATGGTCGAGGCCATCGTACCAACAGCTAACAGTAGCATCAGCTTCATTACCTCTTGCCTCTTTCTCCATGTTTGAACCCGCTTCATTCTCTTCGCTGCTCTCCGCCGGCAGTCTGGCGTCGATCAGTAGAGCGTCCAAAGCGTCCTTCACTTCTTCTGATACATGTACTTCTTCTGTATCTGAGCCCAATGACTCGTTGTGGCCCATACGAGTCACATTTGCACGTGCCTTCTTCTTCTGCTCGCTTCCAGCAGCTCTGGCCCCGTCTTGGTTCTTCATCTTCTGCGGACACTCCGAAATAAGGTGTTCCGTACTGTCGCAAACAAAGCATTTTTTCACCTTCTTCTTTGTGTCTTTAAACTTCTCAGGTTTTTCACGATTTTGTCCATTGCCATCGGCCTTCTGCTTCTCAACACTACCGCTTTTCTGGCTGCGTTTCCCGCTCTTAGCTTGAAACACGCTCTGTCGAGAGTCAGCAACCCGAATAAGCTCTCGAGTCCGCTCTGGGGTGATGTATGTGTCAGCACAATTGTATCTAACACCACTCTTCAAACTCTCAAACTCATACGTATGCGGTAGACTGTTCATCATTAACTCCACCATCGCGGTGTCGTCGAATTGATAGTTGAGAGACAGCAACTCCGTCCGCAAGTTGAACATCGTACTCAGGTGCTTGATGACGTCTCCGCCCGAGGACAGCTTGAGCATATCAAGCTCGTGTCTAATGCTCTCAGCTCTATGAGCCATAGTAGTTCGGTTCTTTCGGCTCTCATAGATTACGCAGAGCGCATTCCACATGTCGGTTCCGGTGGATTTGTCGCGAATCTGGTGGAAGATTCTGCTGGCAGTGACATCCCGATGAGCTGCATGATGGTCAACTGATGATCATCAAACTCTTCCTCAGCCTCCGACGTAAAGAGCATCATCTTCGTGAGATTCCCATTCACGATATCCGTGAGTTTCTTCTTCTTGAAGACTATCTCCATCGCCCATTTGTACTGCTGCCAATCCTTCCCATCCCAGTTCATTGGGACACCGTCGTTCGTGTACTTTAATGGTCCTGACATCTTAGATCACGTTAGTAAACAAAATTCGAAAGTCTTTTGGGCTCAGAGCCCTCTTGGATAATGCACTTGATCCGTATGCCCTAGGAGCACTTTCACCAGTCCACTGAAAGGTAAAAGAAAGTATGATTAGATCGTTAGCTTCACTACTCCTCAGCTCAACGTTCTTCTGCGACCATGCAGTCGCTTCTCATGCATTGGCCTGGCATCATTTGTCTTCACTATACTGCACAGCACCTTTGTGCTCAACTCAGTTGTGCCAGGTCCCGTAGTTCGACCATCCGTCTTGTACTTCACGTTGACTCTGGTCCTAGATATAAATCTGGATTCCAACAGATCGTGTGAGCCCTAATGAGTTCAAGAAGGTCCTTAAAGGTTTGTCGACCTCGGATCAGCTGATCAAGCGATAAGAAGTTCGATTTAGTTGCCTCGTAGCAGCCCACGGTTACTGGCTTTGTACGACTTGTAGTTTGAGGTTAAATATACTGTATCCAATGATATACTACCAGTAGTAGCTTTTAAAAGATATATTTTTCTTTGGAGAGCGGCGGAATCTTGAGTGGATAGAATTACGAACGGCACGTTTTAAAAGTTGGAATAGGTATTGATGCATGCACATCGAGCGAGTGTAAGTATATTGTTACGCAGCACTCTTCTGAAGTCACCAAATAACTTCCTGCAACTGTTTGGTGAGAAGGATTGCTCTTGAATCGGCCAACCAGTTAAGCAGTACAAGCTGTTTGAAGTGCTAGTCAGGCAGAGCTGAAATCTGGACTTTAAAAGGCTAAGACGGCGTCAATGTTACATGTACTCCCCTTCCTTTTGCTGAAAATGAGCTTCAATTGATAGCGTTCGCAAAATGTTAATTAACCTATCTTACGATTTGTTAAGTAGATGTCGCTGCACCGTAAACAAATTTGGCAAAATATGGATGTAATATATCCTGGGATTTGAATAGATAGTATGCAAAGACCCGTAATCCAAATTACGGACAGGGTACATCACATCTATCGCAAAGGGTCGTGACAGGGTGGTGTGTGCAGTTCAATTAAAACAAACATTCCATTCCATTCGCATCATACGTGTACGGAGAGGTGGTTCTGTTGTGAGTTGCCATCTTGAAGAGCAGACGCTGCAAATGAACACGGACTGGGTGGTTCCAGTGATTGGGGGTTTGTCAAAGCAAATATCGGCGACCTAGTTTCATGTCAATTTAGATCACTTTCCCATTTCCTCAACTCTACTCAAGTTGTTCTATCCACGACCGCCATGCGCTCAAGCTCGCTTCTACTAGTCCTTACCGCTGTCCTAGTCTCGACCGGCGACACTGTCTTGGGTGCTATTAGCGAAGATACTGACGCACTTTTCGCTGAGGCTTCCTTTGTTGTACCACCCCTCTTAATAAGTGCAGACAAGAGAAGTCGACTTCTCCGGTGGCATCAAGATGACAAGGAAGAGAGGGGCAATGTTCTGCGGACATCAGAGGAAATGATCCAAAGGTGGCTAGGAAAAGGCCGTATTCCAGCGCAGATTAAGCAAATATTGAAAGTCACGGACCAGACCTCGGAAACCGACGCAGCATACCTGCTGTGGAGACAGTATGTCTCAAGATACCAGGCTGAGTACAGCCAGTTCAAACCAGTTTGATAACCTCTGCCAAGATTGTCACCACCTTGCTTGTTGATCATCAGCAGTGGCAGAATGGCAGTCCCCTATATCGTGGAGATTACAAAAGCAAATTAAGTCAGAAATGTACTTCGTCTTTGACTTGAGAAAAGAGTTTATTTTTAATTGGGCTACTCTAGTGGCACACATCCTATCGAAATCCATTTTTTTCTGGTTGTGCTGGCAGTAAATGAGCCAGTCCCATTGCGCTTCGGCTGCGGAGTTAAGACATGTTGTTTACACTTAGAGATCATAGTGTAGCCGATGTTAATGTGCATAGCCACTTGCACGACAGTTTCACCCAAAAGAACACGTTCGACAGCGCTGTAATTAGCTCGACATATGCCATTATTTAGTTCCGTGCTCAACTAAATTAAACTACACTCAGCGCCAGCTAGATTGGGCTATTGGCCTAACGATAGAAATTGCTGTTTAGATATGCCAGCGCTTTGGTTGGGTGAAATGCGGGAGCTGTGCAATCCATCACATGGTCAGCATACAGCGCCACATAAATCGGTCACCTAAGACTTTACAAAATTCAAGTCTAATGTATGGCAACGATAGTAGCTAACACTGGCCCTCGTGTGGCTGCAAGTGAGCATCTCACGAGGTTTGTTGCCTCTATTGACACTCAATAAGTTCCAGACCTCATGTGGCACTGTACATGAAATTGAAATACTATTATTGTACCCCCCCCCCAAGCTTACATAGGTTTCCTACCGTAATATCACCCAATGATAACTGAATACCTGGACAATGGACTCCTTCAGAGTAAACTATGTTATACCCTGCCGGTCGGACTACACTACCAATAACATGTAGAACACAATGCTTAGTGAGGATAGAAAGTAGGAAGAAGCGCTCAGTGTTGCTCCGCGTAGTTTTTGCGCCTCCACAGCTGCATTAATGCGTTACCATCATTTCCAGTTTATACAAATATCGTTTGGGTGATTGTGTTAGCTACTATCAACTCCATACATTATACTTGAATTGTGGGTGGCCGATTTATTTGGCGCGGTGCCAAAACCACCTCGCTGTATGCACCATGTAGCGGATTGCGAATTTACACAGCTCCCGCATTTCTACCAATTAAAGCTCTGACATTTCTAAACAGCAATTTCTAGCGTTAAAGTGATGGGTTAAGGCCATCAACGTTGGTGGCCTGGCCGCCCTGCGCGTTAGGGTCCCTAATAAAATAATTCTCCTAAAAACTTTTTAAATTTAAATATTAATTTTAAGCTTCAATTCATTGCTGAATTGCACCAGTTCATATATGAATTTATAGCCTATTGGCTCCACAATCAGCAGCACCACCCTTAGCCATCCACCTTTCGTTGTGTATGCTCCCTATCAGCTCTATATACTTCAGTCATTCTCAAATTATCTTCCAAGCTCTCTACTAGCCACCTCCAAGCTCTCAGCCAACTTCTCGGTCCGCAATGGCTCTCACGAGTAGTCAGATCTGCTCCATGCTTTTCCCTGCAGTTCGAGACAACATGCATACCTGCACGACATGTGGCAAGACCTACATGACGGGAATAGCTACACAAACCCACATAATCACCTGCGGCGCAGCCATGCCGACTACGAGCAATAGCTCCAAGAAGCAGCACGCTGTCAAACCCACCTAAACCTACGCCTCGTCTGCCAGCGAGCTCGAGATCTCTACCGCTGGCTGGAGTGGGCTACCTCCGGACGGCTCCCGTTCGAGTTTGTTGAGCACCGCCTCACGAGACTGAATTCCGCTTTCTCTACAGTCTCTGACGACACTCTGTCAAAGTGTGTAAGGCTAGTCTGCGAGGCTGTCGAAGCCCGAGTCGCGGACGAGCTTCTTGAATCGTTTGGACTCGTACTGGACCGCTGGACTAGTAGCAGTCGCCACTATGTAGCAATCATTGCGGTGTACGACACAGTTGGTAATGCCGGTATTACTAGTATTCGGACTTCAAGTGACCTTTTCGACGTCTTGGAGTGCACGTCCCGTCGGCTCTTACTTTTGTCGTTCTCGCCTGTTAAATCCGAAGAAGATCTAAGTGCACAGAGCCAGCTTGACATCATTGCAGATACAACAAGCCCTGGGACTTAGTTAAGTTCATGGCGGGAGATAACGTCTCGGTGTACCAGTATATTAGTAGCAAGGAAGGCACTATTCCCTTGATCGGCTGTGCTAGCCACATATTTAATCTGGTCGTGAAGGTTTTTTTAAAGAAGGAGGACGAGCTGATGACGAAGGTTCACGCGCTGATGTCGAAGCTTCGGATTATCAAGTGTAGATATATCTTACGCCGCGTCTCTCATCTGTCTCCGCTCCTGCAGAATTATAACAGATGGTCGAGTACGTACGAGATGGTCGAGAGGTACGTGAAGCTCCACCGTCCGTTGTTCAACTGGGTCACGGAATGCTTGTTGAGCAAGGAATGCAGCATTATCTGCTGCGGCGGGGCGAGCACGAGCGCGTCAAGATGTTGATCAATGACTTTACTGTTTTTGAGGCGGCCACTAAGACGAAACAGAAGTCTACTCTGACATCGGCTGTGCGACGTCTTTTCGGATAAGTCATCAAGCAATACCGGTCCCTGAAGCCTCGGTTAGCTGCGAGAGCTGCCTTCGTTTACTATCCCGTTTTAGAGCAAAGTGTGGTCAAGCTACAGCGGAGTGAGGCCCTAAATTTGGCTGAGAGGATGGCCTGTGCAGAAATTAGAGCGCCAAGTTTGGAACAAGCACGAATGAAACCCGCACTGCGGGTCTCACTCTTTTTTTTATCAATCTGAATCAACCAAAGTTTTCTATTGGCCAAACATTTATTCTACTGATTACTACTAGTAGCGCTAGGACAGCAGTACTAACCAGTCGCCCCAAGAAGCTCTAAAATTTAAGAAACGCGGTGCACATATGAAAAGATTAAAATTTGAAAGATCAGAATTCAAGCTATCCCAGAACGTTCCAAGCTGGTAAAGCTCGCAGCTAGAAGCTCGTGACTAGCGCCGAGGAAAGTATATCCAGGGAGGCCAGCTAGAAGTTCTGTATGGGCAGTCTCACTCAGGTCAATTCGTTCGCAAAAAGCTGCAAAGTGGCACGCACAGCAGCATACGCCGTGTCCATGAGGCTACACGAAATACGGATGTCACCTTCTACGGCGTTTCAATGCCAAGTTTCTATGCTATTATAAATCACCCTGAGTTTAGTTTGCTGTCGTTTCTAAAACTATATTAGCCACCGAACGAAAAAGAGCTTCAAAACAGCTCCACATGTTTCTTTTCTTAAATTCAAAATTTTGTGGGAGTTGTAAATGTGCAATTTTAGATCGAGTAGCTAGAAAAAAGTTGCTACTACATTTTGACGCTGACAGAACTGCATCATCTAAAATTTGTAGGCACAAAACGATTATTACTACTGGACCTAGCGATGTATTTAAATTATCAGATATCAACTGTTATAACAAGATGACTACCAGTTTCAATGCTCTGATCAACAAGCAATAATGTAGCTCCGTACAATATATACTGAGAGTCAATGAGCTATCTGGATACTTCGTTCCCCTTGTTTTCGACACAATGTACCCCTGTTACATAGCATCTCAACTGCCCAGTGTCATAGTGAAACGTATTTGTTACCCTAATCGCAATCGCTACTTTTGCCCTGCCATGTTACGCTGTAGCCCACTATTTCCCTAATACTCTGGTTTCATTTCGCTGTCTACCTCGCTGAATGTCTACGGCCAGAGTTTGACCGATGGCGTGATCGCACCACGGTTGATTGGAAGCCTGTGCGCACGCGACTAGCGTCCGAGACAGTTCATTTTCATGAAGGATTGAAGACGCCAGTCCGCATCGCAATAGCGGATGACGCGACGATCACGCTGAGAAAACGGGCATTGTCGGGTCGACACTGATGGACGTAGCGTCTGTCACGGCGTCGGGGGTTCTGAACACCCCTGCAGTTGAAGGAAGCATCATCTCGGTGACCAAACCAGCCAAGAAGAATGTCGTCACGTCGTTCAACAAGGATATATGTGGCTGTCGCTATGGTGAAACGCGATGGTTATGGAAATATCTACGATCTGAAGACAGTGAAAGTAGATATGTATCATGTTGCGACAGCTCGTAAGGAGTTGCGGGCTGTGTTACACATCCCATACAAGCGCTTTGAGCAGCTTTGGCCATGGCAGAAGGAGTGCCTAGCGTTGCGGCTGTTGTCAAGGATAAAGACATCTGCGCAGGCTGCTGTATGGGGAAGACGAAAGACGACGACTTGTATTGACACCCGGAGACTCGAATCAGGAGAGCCGGTGTCGTTGATATGGACTCTGGGAGCAGAATGGATACAGTGCACGTAATGATGCATCCAGAAGATAAAGACATCGAAGCCATCGCTACTGTACGAACGCAGAAAGGATCGCAAGCTGGGGTCTCGACACAAATTGTGTATGTTGAAGTTGAAGATGGTGACTTGATCGTAAATAGCTTGATCGTGCCGGCGCGCACACTTCACATTGACGAAACGACAGATTTTAAGAATCAGAGGTCAGTAAGAATCAAGTGGTGACATTATGCCAGGTCGGAGGACAGGTGGTAGTGTTGTGACTCAAGAATGTCAGCAGCTAAAATGCCATATTGAACGACTCGGGTGGAGAAACTTTCGCCACCTCACACCGCTCAGTTCTTGAATACCGTTTCTTGATCGTAGTAAGAGTGTTGGAAGATGCATTTGAGGACAGCTTTTGGAGCTCCATCATGCAGCCTTGAAAGTCCGGCCAGCTACATGACCAGCAGCTCACAACCTACGAAAGTGGGCAAGCAATGGGGGCTACCACCGAAGTACCTAGCGCTTATTCCAAAGTAAATATCCCTTATGCCGGAGCAACTACAGGTGCAGATGGAGACAAGAGGAAGAAAGTGATCCCAAATGAGTAGGAACCCCTCGTTGTAAGCAAGACCTGGAAGCTGGTGCCCCCCAGCAACACCAGTGGTCAATCGAATGTCGCTGGATATTCGCGTTGAAGCGGGACGAGAAGAGGCAAGTAATTCGCACAAGTCTCATTTTGTAGCAAAGGGGCTCTCGCAGAAGCACGACATAGACGTACGCGACGGTGGCTTACCAAAATTCGCGATTCGCGCCAAACTGGTGAAGTGTGTTGCTGACGGATTCGAGATCGAGCGGTGAGATGTAGACACAGCCTTCATGTATGGTAAATTCGATTAGATGTGGTACATGGAGCTACATGAGGGATTGCAGCAGCTACTCACCTCGGCTGAGACTGAATGTTAAGATGACGTCGTGTGTCTGCTACGGACTCCAGCAAGCGTCACGTATGTGCAACGAGATAATCGACAGTCACATCAAGAACGTGGGGTTTAAGGCAGCCAACGACGACCCATCTGTACACACGAGAGGCGTAGGTGACAGCGATGCCTCTGCGTCGATGCCATGCTGATCGCGGCAAACGACAAGGATATCATTGCTTCGATAAAAACTGGGACCGCCGAGGATCTAGGACGGTCTCGCGACATTCTCGGAGCAGGTTCGACTACGACATGGAGTGCCGAACTCTACGCTTCAACCAACAAGCGTATACAGAGTCAACCCTTAAGATGGTCGGGCAGGAGGACGCTAAGCAGTGTCTGGCTTCATTGAAAGCTAGGGCTCATATGGCCAAGGCTGACCAACTCCAACGCGTAGACGACAGGGTTGAGATAGGATCCAAAGCCATACTGTTCGCTCGTGGGGGAACACATGGCCCTAGTATGCGGTACGCGACCCAGAATCTCAATTGCTGCTGCTCAATTAAGCCGCTTCCTAGAAAATCCGGTACAGCGTCACTGGGATGCTGATATCAGGGTGATACGATTCCTATTAAAGATCGAGTACATCGGCATTACGTACGACGGACATCACAGAACGGAACTCGTCGCTTACTTCGATTCAGATTGGCCGGTTACCGTGACGACAGACGCTCCTTAAGCGGCATAATGCTCATGATATGTAGTGTGGCAATCAAATTCTCAGAAGACCGTCCTGGTCCGAGTTCGACTTAGGTATCTATGGCTCTCAGTGACTGCATGAAGGAGGTGGTGTGGGTGCGACTACTACCTAAGGACACTAGCTCAGAGCGATTTGTGAAACCGGGATTTACGAGGACAACCAAGGCACGATTGCACTGGCAAAGAACACTGAATATCAAGCTCACACCAAGGTCATCGACATTCGCTATCACTTTATGCGCGAGAATGTAGCGTGTGATGAAGTCGAACTGGCGTATGCGGACGCCAAGAATCAGCTCGCTGATTTTCTTACGAAGAGCTTATCGACTAAGCGCTACGCTATTTTCGGGTCGCACTAACGTCTGCATCAAGCTCGAGGCATCAAATTAAGTTCGGAGAAACCAATCCTGACATGTTACGTGTGCACGGTACACAAGTGTGTCCGGTGCTAATTACGATTCGTATTCATATTTATCCGTAGCATACTAGTGTGTCCGTTGCAGTATACAATATTTTGTATTCAGCGGACTGCCCATAGTAGGAAGTACTAGAAGATGCATGTAAGGAGGTACTAGGACCTCTAACTTAATCAATCTCACTTTCAAATTTTTATTCATCGGCTCACACCGACTACAAGCCTCATTTGCATCGCCCGCTACTCTCAATTCGATCGAAATAGTTTGTCCAAGGCTTGTTCGTGCTTTCGTGCAGCGCGACTTTGAATGGCTATAAGCTCCAGATCAAAATTAGTCTGGCTTTTTGTAGGCCAACGGGCCTTCGAAAAGGACGCCGGGGCATTATAGCGCGGTGTCGCGTGCTCATGTGTAGCTAAGGAGACAGTACATTACGCACAGCTTTTTGTTGTGTTAGGAGTGTCTCCATCGCTACTTTACAGTGTCGTCAAAACATACTATTTTTCACCCCGACTAAGTGTACCTTAGATAAATAATCGCGGTATCGCTTCTGCACTTTTACGAATCTAACATCGTAGTTATAGCGTTATCACTTTCTTTTTATATCGGAAAACAATCAATTTTTGAGAACTCAGAGTTTTTAATTCCCTCTTAATCCGATATGTTCCTTTTAGTCCTCCCCATATATGCTTTCATCTGCATTACTCACGAAGCTTATAACTTCGTAATTTAATTATTTTGGACAGATTTGGGATAACTACGACCTCTACAAGAATCTCATTGGTTTTTGATATTGCACCGTGCTTCTACCCCCCCCCTTGGCACTTTTTGGCTCCCTTTGTTAAGCGAAACCCTAGCTACATTGTCGTGTCCTGCACGAATATAAATCAAAAGACGTTTACTAGCATGTATGCTAAGCTAAACCTACCCCATTGTACGCCAGAAATATAATTATGTATTGAAGTACAGAAAGACACGATAGTTTTGGCTTTTGTACATGATACTAGCCTTTACCATGTATTGGTTGCGTAGAGGAGACAAAGCGCTCAAGTGCTATGGACACGGACACCAGTGCAAAGACATTTCTATTTTTCAAATAGAAGTGCAACCAGCTGCAAATTGACTTTAATTAGATCAAGACAATATTGCGCGAGGTAGCAG